ATGAGCCCCACCTGAATGTAGGCGGCACACGACATGGAGTCTTGGAGCCAGCCAACCCACACTGTGACCCAGAGTATGACCCTGACTGTTGCCTGTGTCACTATGAGCCCGAACAGACCCAGGTCCAGCCCAAGCATCACGCCAAGAAGGATCACAACCAGGAGGCAGCAGAGACTGAGCAGCAACCAGAGCACCAGGAGCAGGAGTATGAGGCAGAGCCCTCCCAGAGTGGCCAGGAGGAGCCCCACATGTCTGACCAGCTGCTCCCACAGAGTGTGCCCAGCCTTCAGGACATACTGAGGGGCTACGGAGACCATTACCCTGAGCAGGATGATCACAGAGCTTATGCAGATGATTAGAGCAAGAAGTAAACAAACCAGCACACATGCATGCAGATGGACATGAATACACAGTCACATGCGTTCTTGTAGCTTGCAGCATTAGTCGTCTCGCACTGTGCACACCCAGTCCAAACTGGACCAGATATGAGACATGAGAGACGTCTGTGGACCTACTGAATGAGTACATCATGCACGTACATAAACACACAGCTTCCAGCAACATGTTCAGAAAGCCAAGGGTGCTCCAGCAATGTTTTCATCCCTTTAGCTGCTTCAGATCTTTGCTTTGGCATGTTGCTTTTCATTTTCCACCACAAACCTCCTCAGGCCACTAAAATGTGTAATGACTGCAGCTTTGTTCCTGTATCACATTTTTCAAAATGTTTGTTGCTTTTTGTCAGTGATGGATTATGCAAAGATTTTTTTTTCATGAATGTTCTAATAAAGAGCTCTAGAAAAGTGTTTTTGCATTTTATTTATTTACCCCTAAAACCAAAGCGCTGCCTCACACCAACAAATGCCCTCCACCTCCCAGTCAGGTGGTTCTCATGAGCTGGAGAATCACAAAGGGTGTGTGATTAAGTTTTGCGGAGTGTGATTTGTTTCCCAGTGAGGGAAACTCGTCTAATTCTACTGCCAGTCTCGTCCCATACAACTTTGAATCCCGCAGTCAAATATTTGCAAGCAATTTTTGCTGCAAAACAGAAAAATGTCATTTTTATTGCGGTGTGCTTCTTGCAATGGTTGGTATGTGAATGTGGACAGCAGAAATTGTTTTAACAAGAAAATCACTTTGAATATACCTTGTGATTCTTACATAAGGACCAGGATGCAACAGGTGCAGTAGCTCCCCACAACATATAAATGACCTTAAGCAAAGTCTTTGTGCTAGTCTTTGCTGAGAAGCAAAGAGAAGGTTATGGTTGATGAGATCATATGGTCCACGAGGACTCAAATATTTCTAAAAAGGAGATGTTTGATCTTTGACTGTTACAAGTCTAGTTTGGTTGTGTTTTTAATTCCAAAAGAAATTATGTGTGGCTCCCTGTTTTACTCTCCCTCTCTTTGGAACTGGGAAAGGAGCTGCAGGTGAGCTGTGTTGTGTCTGTGAGTGAGTGGGAGCTGGTTGGCAGCGGGCTCTCCTGTTCACTGCTACCATTCAACACTCTGTGATCTACCTTGTCATTCTGCATGTTGTAAATAGTATCATCTATATATCCGTAGTTGCAATAATATTAAATACTGAGGAGGTCATGCACACGACATGCATACTGTACATAGGTATATGGCACCTGCTGAAACCACTAAGCCTATTTAGTTGCATTTCTGCTTTGACAAAATATCTGAGCTTCCACTTCACATCCTTTTAATTTTTTTTTCTAAGGTTGTGTCTGTAGTTATGGAGGACCAAGACTGATGATTGAACTAGTTGACTGTATGATTATAAAAATAAAAAATTATAAGTTAAATAATGACTTCTGTAAATGGTGAAATTAATTTAAATGTACTCTTAAAAATATCCATCCATTATCCAATATCCTCTGATGTTTATCCTGTACAACTGTGTGCATCTGGTCAAATGGACATGACAGAAGACAGCAACTGGCTGTGTGTTTAACACATTTATGAAATGAACAAAATGCCAGTGGTTCTGAAAAATGACTCAAAATGCACTTTATTATAAAACATGTTTTGAGTTTTACATTTATAAGCGGCTCTAAACAGTATAGTGCAGTCAGCGTCACATGGACTCGCAGAACTAGTTTGAAGAAGAAATGTCAAAAACATACACAAACAGAAACATGAGTAGGAATGATTTTTGCCATAGTGCGTTCTGAAACTCACTCAATTTTAATGCTTTGTCTGAACTGTAATTTTGAAAACAGCCTGTTTAAAGATAAAGTAGCTGCAACAATAGATGTTTCCTTATTCAGTTTTGTTTAGCTTATGATATTTTCAATGTCTCTTTACTATAAAGTGGTAATTGGTTTTTATTATTAGTATTATTTATTGGCTCTTCCTGAGGTTTCTTCCGTTTTTCCTCCATTAAAGGGAGTTTTACTTGATTCGACGATCTAAGGGCAGAGGGGGGTCGTACATTGTACAGATTGTAAAGCCCCCTGAGGCAAACTTCTGATTTTGGGCTATACTTATGTACAGATTCCACCATGCTCAGGAAAAAATTGGTGTGTTATTCCAGCAGCATTATCCAGTAATTGTAAATTAGGATCACACTCAAATGCAAGAAATCACTTTATTTTGCAGGTGCAGGCTAATTAACTGAAGAGGTTTCACCTGTGTGTAATGTTTAAAGAAGCAGCTGCACTGTGATACTGATGATGGCTGAATAAAGTGATTTCTTGTCATTGAATATGATCATAATGTATTATCATTGATTTTTGGCTAATAAACAAAAGCCCGACTATCATGAAGAACCAGTAGCTGCAGCACTAAGCACATATTCACATGTTCAGATGTACTAGTAGCAGCCAACCTATTCAGGTGAATGACAGCTAAGCTCTTTAGCTTGGTTATGATTATCATACAGCAATTTTCATATGAAGATTTACTTAACATCCACTTTGCATTAAATATCTAATAAGTTCAACTCAATACCCTGTATTTATGAGCAGACACACAGTTCTGCTTTGCCATCTTATTGCCAACAGTGAGAGAGTTAAAACACTCCCTCAGTATATCAGCCCATACCAGTATTCTTATTCACTCCACTAATTAGGTGTTTATCCTCTTCTGACCAGCAGTCAACACTGAGTAAAGCGCTACATACAATATAGCATCTTATCCGTACATTTTCATAAACACATACAAGTACAACTGTATCGTTAGCTCACAGGTCCCTGATTTTACTATATATCACTTCAGTAACAGCAAAAAGGCATGGGCATTTACAGTGTATGTACATACAGTAAACATAAGCTTGCACATACATGCACACATTCACAGCAAACGCAAAACTCACACTGGGTAAAGGTTTGCAATAGCAACCAGAGGAAACACAAATTCTCATTATTCACATAAAAAAAGAAGCAAATAGCAACAGTTCAAGTAAATAGTGACTCATTCAACAGGCTGCTCTGTTAGCTAATAACGAGCATGCATGTAGATGACACAGGTAGTAGCAGGTATTCACAGTAAAGTGAGGCCTTATGTTCCTCCATACATTAAAAAACATCACTGTGTCTTGGGTCCTTGGAGCAATGAGTCATCTAAGTGGGCATATTGACCCAAATGACA